CTCTGTGTGTGTGTGTGTGTGTGTGTGTGTGTGTGTGTGTGTGTGTGTGTGTGTGTGTGTGTGAGTGTGCAGTGTACACTTACTTGATAAAACATTTTTCAAAGAAAAATGGTGACCATTATAACACGACCGCGTGTTTAATATTTTATTGTGATGTTAGGTAAATTCGAACACACAATGATGATACTATACATTTTGTTGTAATTCTTAGATACGAAACCGTTGCTTGCTCTCATCAAAATGACGAAACTGATCACATCAATCAATTAAAAATAACCCTTCCTTATCATAACTGAAACTTGAACTCACACCGTTATCTGTGTATACACTGTACTTACGTAAACGTACCTATTCGCACATTCACGAATATACAGCATCGTTCAAATACCTATTTTATTACACGACAACGACAACGAACACCTATTATTGGTACGAAACAATTTTTTTAACGCCCTGTATTTAACAATGATTATTACAACACTACAGTCCTCACGGCGAACAATATTATTACTATTGGTAATATAGAAGCTAAATGCTAATGGTTTGAAGACGTTGCTTTTATTTTTACAATTTCTATTTACTCGGCAGTAAAAATATTATTTTATTCGAGAGTTTCCAAATTCGGCCACAAAAGCACGATATATTTTAATATTGTAGACATTTGCTCTACGAAAATATTTCACTGCGGGGTACCTATGACATGAAAAAAAATTATGCCGTCTTTAAATATAATTATATTTCAACAATGTTGTAATGCATTGATTTCAAATAATGTAAAAAAACATATTTTCAGAAATACATACATTTCCGAGAAAATATCTACCTACTTACTTCTTAGTGTTAAATGGAATCATTGTGCATATGTGTATTGTATATGTATACATGTCTTTATAGGTAGCCAGGTAGGTGCAGCCAATGCGATGATAAACGCATATATATTATTATGATTAAATGCTACAGAAACAATTCTTCACATCTTATTTTTGAAGTGAAACTTAGTCGAATTCATATGCTCAGCCGTTGCGACTAAAAAGCGTTAGGGGCCCGGCTCACTCGTCACTAAGGTTTCTATGGTAACGAATAATAATCCATTTGTCTTTTGTATGATAATATTCAATAATATTAATTCAATATCAAATTTTTTTTTTTACTTTTTAACCCAAACTTAATATTTGGCTATGATGGGCGATAACCTTTTTTTTATATCCTCTGCAAAGAAGTTTCTCTTAATCCGAGCGTACTATTGCAACATACGCACTTTTTTTTATATCTGTAAGATTCATTTTTACATCAATCATTATAATTATTCTTATATTTTATTGTTCTTAAGCATCGGCAACAACGCTCAATTTTTTTTTATTTCCACTAATAACAACTTATAAGGTTACATATTGTATTACATTTTCAATTTGTTTGACAGAGCTAAAAATTGTTTATCGTTTATCAACAATAATTGAAAAAAAACCTTTTTATTCCTATAAATAGCTAAAAAAAGTTAAAATATTTTGAAAAATTCTCATACGAACATTCGATAAAAATTAAAAAATATTTTAAGTTATTAGCTTTTTTACAGTAATGAAACTACATGGATTTGCGTAAAAATCATAGATTTCCCTCGATTTTTTTTCGGTTTCTCCGGATGCTTATGAAAAGTTCTAGAAATATTTTACTTTTGAACTCCCAAAATACCAATTAGAGATACTTTCTTACTAGAAAAAATGCTACAGTAAAAAATCAAAGCAATTTGACTGCTCCTTAAGGTGATTACATCCGAAAAAAAAAACAAAAAAAACATTCATCATTGTAAACTCTAGAAGGAGTATACACCGAATTTGTTAACTGTACAACTTAATTTTCATTTAAACACTATTATTATAGCAAACAGATGTTTATTATTTATTTACAGAATCGATTTCTTAAATGACATTTTCCTATGACATTTTTTCAGACGCTGATCGCCACCCTGTAATCGATATAATTACAAATATTTTCCTTCATTCAAAGTGACATTGACGGACATTCATGAACCTCAGATTATGTGTTATATAGCAGTATTGTTGATTTGTAACGGTGCCAGGGCACTTTTTTAAATCATACTGCTGCAGCAGTACTCGACAAATCGACCGAAAAGAAACATTACTGCTATAATAGATGTGGCATTTTAAATTGAACCATATAAAATACCAAGTTTTACTGTCCCCAAATAGTATGAAGTGAGTGACGTAGGGCACTGACAAAATAAAGCAGATATAATTTTTCTGAAATAATAATTATGTTAATCAACCAATATTTGATTTCAAAATGATTGATATAATATGGTATTATATTTCTTTTGATAATTATATTTAGACTGTAATTATATCCATCGAATTGTATCATTCATTGATGATAAACTATACATGCGTTTATCAGTAGGTAGGTATATAATACATTTTTTGTCATCCATATATACCGACGACCTACCTACATTACAATATTATATTTAATGTAATACGATACGATACTGCTATTATAGCAGTACCAGAACATCGATTAATTTATGAATACTCTTTATAATTATATGAATAATTCATACTGTCCATCAAAATGTTTTGAACTTGTTAAATAAAGTTTCAAAATAAAATCCGTTAAATCACAAAGCTATTAACGGCATAATTTTGATAGTTATATCATAAATCTTTTATTTTGATTTTTTATCTTTTAAATTCGTTATGTTCCTTAAGTAATAGATGGATTTATATAAAATTAACACAGTTAAAGATACAACAACGCCAATCGAAACCGCCACATCGACCAGAAAATATTCATACCGATTCAAGCTCATGGACGCGGGCAATTTGTAATCTGCAACACCGTTTCGGATTAAGTATTCGACAGAATGTACTGCGGTATCCATCGCGGAGTTCGGAAGGTCTAAGAATATACTGGAAGCTGTTTGGGCGTTCTTCTTATAACTGAAATAAAACGTATCAATATATTATAATATAGGTATTAACTGGAATAAATAGATAAAACCGCATGCCAAAGTATAAAAACCGAGTGATTTAAAATGGTTTTTCAAACTAGGCTTAATTTCTTAAAAAATAAATACTTAAAACGAAATACTGATTTAGCCATATTTTATTTTGTATACTTTTATGTATGAAATAATTTATTATTTAATTCAAATTCATCACATACATTACATTGACCTATACAATGACAAACTATACGAAGTATTCTCGCAATACACTATTCAGAAGAAAAAGTTCCACAGCTTAAAAAAAAAAAATTATATCATAAAAGTATACCTACTCTTAGTTTCAGACATCAAATTTTTTCAAACTTTATTTTAGGCTCTTATTAATTATTATATTTATATTAATGTAAATATAGGTAAGTAATTAATTAATTTTTAATATTGTCTTACTTTATATCAGAGAAGATTTTTCCAATAGCATCGACGAGGACTTTTACGTTTAGGTTTTCCAGTAAAATTTCAATTCCGAAACCGTTTTCGATGACGAATCTCATGTTGTAAAACTGGTCAGTATAAAACGGAAATCCGATCAACGGTAAACCATAGTGCAGTGCCTCCACAAGACTGTGATATCCTCCGTGAGTGATGAAAAGCTTACAGTTTCTATGGCCTTTGAACAGAAATAATATTTGTCATATTGTACATCAGTGATACATGATTTAGGTATAGCTAAACTGATATATACGTAGTATAATTCATGATATAGTCTAGTACTCAAAACATTTTTTTTTCAAGGTATAACAACGCACGTGTTATCTACACAAATACACAATGATTTATAATTGAATCTATTATCTTGTATTAATAAAAAATAAAAATAAATAATATCGCGTTAATCAATATGTATTATGTAGGTAAATAAATTTTTTATATATCAGTTATACTACCGGAGACTGTAGATTCAGTGTTGATTTCGTACTATTATTTCTGATAGATACATTAAGGTCGAATTAAAAAATTGCTATTTGTGTGGTACTATTTTCGATAAAAAGCAGTATTTGACATTTTGATATAAATATAAATACTAAATAGTATTTTATTGTTAAATTTACATTTAATTTGTAGGCATAATTTGTAAAGTTGTTACTATTAAGAATTATGAGAAAAGACGGATTTTCTAAAAATATTGGCCCAAGTAATTAGCTGTAACACGATTGAATCTGTCCTACGCCTTTTTACATGCAAAAATCATGATACGATTGCGCTAAAAAAATTCGTACGAGTGGGTCCATTTTACCTTTTACCTACGGGACACTATCATACTATATAAATCTATGTATTAAATTGTATAACAAGCTATATTACACCACCTGTTTAAAATTGAAATTAAACTTTTATTCCGTAAAATAATGATCATTATTATTATATTGCCGGTTCGAGAGAGGTGTCTTCTCTTGAGATACGCTTATAATTAGGATGAGACATATTTATTTATAAATCTACCGTAATCCTATGAGTCAGTTTTTTAGATGAAACCTAATTTTTTTTTTTTATAGGTACACTTTTGAAAATATGTGCTACAAATAATTTGTCTGATGGAAAAATAATCATGTAATACGACTAGGTAAATGAGTATATATATTGGCTATATAGGACAAAATGTAAATGGGAAGAACTAGCTGGGCACTTGTTGAACGCAGTGTACCGATTCGACACTTCGACAGCTATATCAATTCAAATTAAATTTATATATTGATTGAAAATAAATGATCCTATGGTACGACCTGTCTGCCTTGCATTTGGTGTCCACAATTAATGAAATAATATTATTAAATAAGTGACTTTTTATAACATACGGCCTCATCTCAATTATTATTATAAAGTCATGTCGTATAATATGGGCAATTAGTAGACTACTAGCAATAGACTATAGCAGCGGTCACCACCAAATGACCTTATCTGGCCTACAGATAAGAAATTACTTTTTTAATTATTTATCTTGATATATTTTTTACACTCACTCAAGATGTATTGTTGCGGAAACCATTTATCGATGTACACGTTGTCGGGCAGGTTAGCAATGGTACCGTTTTCCCATTTCCATAGCACGATTTGCTTGAGTTTTCTGAACGATTCGACAAATGACTGGACGTCGCGTTCCCCTAGGTCCGACATCTTTATGTTCGATCCGAAACTGAAGTAGATCGCCCCGTTGGTCGCACCGTCGAGAAGTGCTTTGAATTTCTGCCAAAAATTATAATAATGAATATTTAAAAGGGGTTCAAAAATAATTGATCAAAAACATTTTCTGAAAAATAATTATATTTGACTCTGCTTCACACTTCAACTTTTTTCAAATACGCATTCCTATTCTGACTTTGAATATTGCTGTTGGGGCAACTTTTATACACACACAAATCGAATTTCAAACTTGCTGCGGTAAGCAGTCTTTGATTAGTATTAAAACAGTATTCTGAAGGTCGAACAAATAGTGTGGCCGATAAAATGATGTACCTACAATAATTTTAAAAAAAAACAGTTGCTGTTGGTGTGAAATAATATAGAATCATCCAAAAAAGGTTAGAAGATCACGTGTAGCTTACCTGGTCAACGGTAGAAGACGTCTGAGGCCGCATGTGCATGCCGGCCACTTGCACCACGTTCGGTGGGTACGGCCTGGCGTACGATACGGAGTGGTGGCCGTTGACCAACGTGAGCTGGACGGCTTGGCGGAGTGCGTCAAGCGGCGGGCAGTTCCGGTGTCCAGGGTACGTGTACAGATCGTCCAGCATCTGCTGATCCGTAGACTGGAACGCGATCTCGGACACGATCAGCTCAGCGGCAGCGATCGCCGAATTGTACAGCCGTTCGCCGAACGACATTGAGTCCGAGTACCGAAGCCAGAACGACGGCACGTATGCGGGATGGTCCGGCATGCCCAGCGATTGGCTGAGCGTCACCGAAGGTGCCATCGGACTCAGGCACACCACCGGAGCAGAATATCTGAGTTAGTATGCGCAGGGTGATTAAAGAAGAGCACCAAATCTTTGGTTATAATTTTTTTATAATATTTGTTTTAAGATAAACATGATGGAATTTCGGGTAGTTATACCTATGTAATAAATGTAAAGAGCATATACACACTCTCCCTCATGTACGTAGTAATAAAAGATGGCACAAAATAAAAAACCCAAAAAGGGTGGGAGATTGGCACTATTGTCGACTACTTACGTTCCGTCTGAATTTTCTATCTAATTTATATTATCAAAAAACTACAAAACATAATTATCACCATTGTTACCTGTGACCTATTGCCAGGTAAATATCACTGTACCAGCATTCAGCCAAAACCACATCGAAGGCGTACCGAGTGTCGTTGAGAAACGCACGAGTCTCATTCAGCTCCAGAGTCCGAGTGACCATTTTTATCATACCTTGCTTGACGTTGATCATATTGGTCACCCGATATGTATGGCGAATTTCCAGTGGACTGCGAATTCTCTGGATTTTCACTATGCTCACGCAAAATAATCATATTGTAAGCTCTGTATCCTTTATTTATAAAGTTTGTTAAACAAATTCCACTCGATATATATTCACCCTCTATTTAACTGATATGAATTCTAAATTTGGCTTAGATTAGGTTATTACTTATATCTATAGGTGTTATCAACAAGCATTGGAACAAATGAGAAGTAATAAGTTGTGCACTGGGAAATTTTATTTTTTTATATAAAAATTATCAAAGTTAGAATGAGGAAATGCAACTAATCATGCATAATATTCATCCATATAGATATAATAAATACATTACATACCATCGGGGATGGGTACGTGTCGGTAAGTGTTCGGCACATTTCCCTTTGGGTAAAAAGGGCTGACTACGGTCACGCGGTGACCACGGTTCGCCAATTCCAAGAACAGTGGATTGAAACCGGAAAAATGACTGTAAATTGGCAACGGGAAGAACGCCAATATATCCGCAACGGCAGCGATCGGACGCACTACCCCGCTACCAAAGATTGTCAAAATCACTAAAATTATTGAAACCTGTGATGAAAATTAGAAAAATAATAAGTAAAAACTCTTAATAAAAATTTAATATTAATTATAATATAATCTTTGATATTTTTGATATGTCATAATATGTAGGTATACATCAAGAGCAGAAGATGTGCATCTTCTACAACAAGTGTCCTACTTTAATAATTTGAAGTATCCGGTGATAAACCCCTATTTATTGAGATATATTTGTACATCATTATTAATTACATGTAGTATAAATGCATACAATTATTCTTCTCTCATTGTCTCTCCATTGGGAAATATCCGAAATCGTAAATTTTTCTTTGCTAATAAGTACTTAAATTTATAAATAAACCATAAAAGTGATTTCGTAAAAGAACGCAGGACGTTTTTACACCTAGTTCACTTTTAATAACGATCGTCCAATACTCTCCTAAAGATCAATCAGTTGATTGTAGCGACCCTTCACTTATATTACGTAGGTTTGTGTGACCAGCTCCCCACCTTAGCAAATTATTACAGAAATTTATAAATTGACCCCACAATTGTACAGAGCTACTGAAAATTAAAGGTTGGGGCCAACCCTCCACAAAATTGGCCAAAATGGATATTTAGATATTATATGTTTCTATTAGAATTCAATGACCGAAAAAATAGCTGAACGTTTGTCACACGTTTACCTGCAAATCGTCTAAAAGAGCAAAATTAAATTATTTAAGTGTTACATTATAGTTCAATTTATGATACTAAAATGAATGTCAGTAAGAATATTATTCAATGTAACAATTTATAAATATTAAGTTTCTTGTATACCTACTATATTATAATGCATGCTTAGAAGCTTATTTATTTATTTATTGGGAAAGTATGACCTGGAAGCCCAATGATGGTTACCTTACAAGAAACATTGAAGTACATGATATTTTAGCATACAATAAAATAAGAAACCAAAAACAGCAACAATTATTACCTAATGTAACTTCATAATGAACAACAAGCTGAAAATATTTATAATAAGCTAAGGTAAATTAATTAGAATAGTGAGACGGTTCAGTTTAATGAAAAAAAAAACACGATATTGCATTCTGATTATTCGCAGTTATATGCATAGCTCATCTGCTCACATTATGTAACGAATCACTAACATAATATTATGGCATTATTTTAGAAAAAAAAATAAAATACGGGGATATTATATTATAACGTCTTACAAGTTTTTATATAGATAATTCAATTTCTTAAATAAATGGAAACATAATATTTCCTATAATAAGTAGTACATATATTTCAATTATTTACTCCTTTGCAATATAGTTTGCACAATAGACCCGCAATTTATACTTTAAATTACGTAATATTATAATATTATGTGACATATGACGTTCTCGAAAACGCATAAATTTAGAAAGAAATCATTTGAACTCTAATAAATCTAAATAAAAATATAATATACAATCTACAGGTAATATTATATAGGAGATACTGGCTTAATATAACATTATGTACAACACTATGTGACAATAATAATTAATAATATTTTATTTCCTTGAAATATTTGGGCAATTACGTTTGTGTGTGGAATGTGTACGTAATCAAAATCTTGGATCTTAGCTCATATTCTAATAGTAACTTGAAAAAGATGAGTTTAAAAAATAGTATGCTCTATTAATAGCAAGTTTCGACATGTGTATGTGCATAGGCGAAACTATGGCCTGACCTAATATTGACTGGAAAACATATATTAACGATATTAACTTTAAAGAATTAAAAATTCAAATTCAAAACTTATTTTGTAATATTAAAATTTTTTTCGTATTTATAATTTGACCTTATCTAAAAATAATTTTTAGTTTCGCTTATGTATGTGTGCACTTACTTGGGAGAACATTTTTCAAAGAGAAACAAGCAAGCAGGTGGTCGTTATAATCCAACCTCGTGGATAATAGTAAATTGTTGTAATGTTATATCGGTCAATATTTTGATGATGTTTTACCGATATTATTTGTTGTAATACTATAAAAAATAAACACAAAATCGTTTGATGCGAGTTCGCATCGAAATGAAACGGATCGCTTTCAACTAAAAATAAGCCTATAATAACTGAAACGTGAACTTACTAACACCGTTATCTGTGTATTCGAATGTTCTGCATTTACGTAACGTTTACATTTATGAATATACATCCTCGTTCAAACTGTCGGCTGTTGAAATAGGTAAGTTCTTATATCGTTTTTGCTTACTTGTTTTCTTTATGATATACAATATTGTATTACAAAATACTTCCACAGAACCAGATTGCTTTACACGAAGTCTCGGAGTTCGACATTTTTTCCAATTCTTCTGAAGAAGGTTGGTAATTGGATATGTACATAAAAGTTAAGTTATCTTATACTAGTACGATAGAACTTATAGCAGGTCTATATGGCGGAACAACGAAGACCAAAGATAAGGAGACATCTAAGACTACGTTTCAGGAAAAAAATAAAATTTGGGCATGAATTGTTTTACTGTTTAGTTATGGTTTAGTTTATTGATGGGCAAAAAATATTTTTAATTTTAAAAAAAAATTTCTACCAGAGGGGAAGGTTTGACCCCCTCCCCCATAGCCACCCCTCTCCACATTGCATCCGCTACTGAAAGGCGATTGCCCATTGCTTATACAACACTTTTTTTTTTAATATCCTGTATATAAAACAATGATTATTATTTATTAATATACCCTCGGTATATAGTCCCCTAGACGAATGATTAATTATAGTAGATAATGGATAGATGGAACGTATAGATGTGACTTTTTTTTATATACTTTCGATTTGTTCGATTGTGAATAACATTTTTTCAGGTCGTTTCCGAAGCGAGGGTTCTCCGTCTCTAGTCGGCCACTAAAGCACGATACGTCATAATATTACATCGAATAAACATGTAATTTTAACTAAATTACCATGATTCCTGTATGCGCTGCTCAACAAAAATATACCACTTCGGGGTGCTACCTACAAATGAAAAAAATATGCTGTCATTTAAAAAGTACCTAAGAAAATTAAAAAAATATTCATATATTTCATAATCGTTATTGTGATGTTGTAATGATTTCAAAAATACATACATTTACCAAGAAAACCACTTGTAATAAATGAATCACCCTGTATGGGTGCATCATATTATGTGCGTGGGGGACTTTTTTTTCCATTTCAAATGTTATGTCTTTATAGCCTATGTGACGATAAATGCATAATAGGTAATTAATAATTAATCACCACAGAAAAAAATTCTGAACATTTCGTTTTTTTATCTCTGCATCAATTATATTGATGTTTTGAGTATTAAATATTTCATATTGCGCCGTAGCTTATATTTTCATTTCCATCAGATATATAATATCGACGTCCGCATTTTTATTTGTGGTTAATTATTATATTCGTCACGATACATCTTCTGTTACACAATAGTAAATACTAAATATTACCTACCTACATAATATAGTAGTCTGCCGGTAGTTGGCACTGCGGTCTTGAAATAGGAAAGGTTTCAAACTTACAAATAAAAGGTAGCCGGTAGATTTATCACCAATAGTATTAACACCTTTACACTAAAAACAATACGAATCTTGGAGATCATCATGACTCAGTATCGAAATTACGTTCTTAAAATTTGAACGTCTATCTATATTTGGAAACAGATAAAACGTGATTTCTACTTGAGAATATTTTGCCGTTTAGAAGAGATCGACGTTCAATTTTTAAAAACGTCATTTTGTTTGATAAAAAATGAAGTCGATAATATTAATTTAGAACGCATCTATGCTAGTTGGTGAAAAAATACTTCATGTAACATTTGTTTTTATTTCATCATGATGAAAAAAATGATTCAATACAATTATTAGGTAAATATACAATATATATGGGTGTTTCGGAAATTGGTACGAATTTTAAAACGCCATTAGTCACATATTTTATTAAAAATGAAATTTTTTTCCACAGACAGCTCTAAAAATATCTCACATTTATGTATGAAAAATTACCCCCAGCATATGTCCAAAACCGAAGGATTAGTGCTACTAACCAGTATCAGAAAAATTCCCATTCGTATCGACTTCTGAAACACTCAATCGAATGTTGAATTCCAATATACAAGCACAATAATAAATACCTAAAAAAGCAATTATTATTATAAATATGACGACGTTATTTCTTGCCATTTTTTGTTTATACATAAATTCGATGCGAACTTTTCACTTCGAATATGGTACCGTTATGGATACTCGGATGACTTAGGGTTGGGCAGTATCTTCGATACAAGTATCTGAGATACGTGTCTTAGATACAATTGTACCTTGTACCTTGTATTTCGATACAATTACATGAAGTATCGAGTATCTTGTATCGCGTTACATTTTTAGACAATGTATCGAGTATTTCACAAAATAATTTTGTCAAAAAATACTCGATACTTAAAAAATTTAATTTTTTAGGATTATTTTCCCTCACCTATCTACCAACCGCGACTGTTTGACTATGTTTTAGTATAATACTTTAGTACTATACTATAATATGTGTAAAATAATATGAGCGATGAATTTAAATTCATAAATCCATAATTTAATTGCCGTATGAAATTATTTTTCAACCTAAGAGCCATATTAAGTTATATCTGTGTACAGGACGCACCACACATACAAGTTGATGGGACTTTACGTACATACCATATTATGTTTTTTTGTCGTGTCATATACTATTCGATATGATATCTATAATTTATTTGTATTACTATTTATTCATGTAATTTAACAATTGACTTATTATAATATATTTATACTTAATTAATATTTGAAATTTTAATGTTAAATGCATTTGTCTAAATTCACAACCTACCTAATTGTGTATAAATACAATTTTTTTAAAATCCTATGCGTCGTAGGCTATGACTAATTTTTACAAATGTATCAAGTATCTAAATACTTAGAATGTAAATATCTAATATCTAGTATCTCGAAACTCCTAATCCAAGTATTCTAGTAGGTATTTAGAATCGCGATACTGATTTTTGAGTATCTTGCCCATCCTGTGGAATGTGGATACTAAACAGTCAACACCTGAGTTGTTGTCATGTTTTCTTTTCATGAGGCAACGCAAAAGCTAACTCATTACCTAATTTCTCATGTCCAATTGTTTTTTTGATATTTTCTAATAAATTAAAATACATATCTAAAAAAACTATTGCACTTATTTATGATTTATGTATTTTACCGCAGAGAATTCAACATGATAATTTCACCCATAGGGGAGGTATCTGGTATAGCAAATTGTGAACAAAATACTAACAAAAACAAAACAGAAGCATTATTTTAAACCATAGGTAGAAAACAAGATGAGTTATAATGTTGTGCTTGTCTTCTAAAAAGTAGCATTTTTATGTCTAGAAATCTCATTCATAAAAACGTTTTGGTAATGGTTCCATCATTATGTGATTTTAGTAAAATATTTATTCTGGTAAATTAATATTAAAAATAAAATAAATCATAATTTTTTCTCATAATTTACAAAGTATTCCAAAATATGCAAAAATATTCTTTTACTTTTGTAAGACTGCATAAACTCAATAGGTAACAAAACCTATGTAAAAACATATAAATGCAGACTTTATTTATATGTAATTGGTTGAATTACAAAATACTCCAAAGTAAAAACAACTATCTTAAAAAAAAACAACAATTTTTGTTTTATTATTGTTCTTCGATATTATATACAAACATATTATAATGTCATCATAACTTACAATCAACAGTTTGTGCATTAAATTTTGGCAAACAAAAATATAATAATTATAATTATAATATTGATGAAATTAAAATAATAATAAAAAAAAAATTATTACACAAAATCGAACATACACAACCTTAGTTTTAATAAGAGTACGGTGATGAAAAATCATCCACAGAGACCCATTCACTCACATTATTTGTGTACTTATATTTTATATGTATACATATTAAATAAATATAATAATTTAATATTAATTATCTGGTGTCCGTTAGGTGTTGGTTTGATACAATAACAATAGAATCTTATTATATAAGGCATCGATATGATAATCGTAAATATTGGACCATCACTATTGAATATTACGAGTATACTAGTAATCATTTTTTTTTACTAAATATTATTAGACATATGGATAATGTTTATATTATACATGTACCGTCTATAATATTATATGCATAAATATTTTAGGTTTTAATAGTATTAATATTGTACGAAACTGCACAGGATTTATAAACAATAATAAGAATTATTAAAGTAAAAGAAAAGTTATAAAATAGAAATTAGTCTAAATAAACATTTGACTAGACCCTTAAAAAAAAACCTGAAGATGTTTATACAGAACTTGTATATAATCGTTGTCTACATAGAGATTTCTTTTTTGAAAATCGTTGTTCTCACAGAAAAATTTATAATAATACATAAATATATATATATATATTCTCTAGAAAGCTCTAAAGTTAAAAGTCAATCTCACGTGATGATAATATTTAATCGATGTTGTCTTAAATGTAAAAACAAATAGTGTTACTTTTCTTCGATTATGTTTAAAAACTACTTAGATAAAAATTTAAAAGATAATGTAAAATAGGAATGTCGTCTTGATAATAATAATATAATAATAATTATAATAATATTCAATCTGCTTGGGGACATGGTCAGACTTAAATTGTCAATGTGCCGAACACAATCGTACCTAACTGTCACAGCTGACGAGTAAAGTAGAATAGTAGTTTTATATTTTTCATTTTATTGGTCTATCGTGACACACTTTGCCAACTAACTGGCCTCCTTTGTTTGTTCTTTTTGATACGCTATGGGTGACTGTATGGCTTTTAGGAAGTCCTGTTGAGTCTGGAGTATTTGCCTGAGGTTCTGCAACCATTCAGTACGTGATTCTGCACTGTGTGCATGGCACACAAACCACAGCGGAGGCCTCTTAGGGTCGGTGGATTTTATGATGAATGACCCATCGGACGAGTCATCGGATGAGTTACTGCTGGACGAACCGTGCCTCTCATCTAAAGTCATTTTGTTCACCTAAAACATATTGATATGATGAGATT